ATGTAACTATGGTTGTTTATACAATGTGGCTTATGGCTTGGTGTGTTGTACAAATCCAGACATCTAGGGTTAGCAGAGTTAAGCAAATCCCAGCTTACTATAATGTGTAAGCCTAATTACAGCATGTACCTAATTTTATAAACTGTTAAAATTTTGCATAATATACTATACATTTACCTTTCACTGTAAACAATGATTGGCAAAGGATAGAAAAGAATAAACAAAACGAAGGATTAGGTAAGGAAAAAAGTAAGAAAACATAACGAAATTGAACTTCCCACATTTAGTTAAGAAAATTTTGATTAGGATGGCATAGGCAGATGTCATGGAGCTTAAGAGAAAATATAGAATTTTAAAAGTGAGCAAGAGAAAAAAGCTAAAGTTATGATAAAAGACAGAAAAGCAAACTTAGCACTTATATACTGCTTCATAGTGCTTTATAGCACTCTCCAAGTGATTTACAGAATCAGCATATTACTCCCAACAATCCTCGTTTTACTGACCTCAGAAGGATGAGTCAACTTTGAGCTGGTCAGGATTGAACTCCTGGCAGTGGATAGTGTCAGCCTGCAATACAGCATTCTAACCACTGAACCACCTCAGCTCACCCATTTTCTTACCCCTATTTCACAGCCCGTCTGCCGCAGGTCCCAACTATGAACTGCATTAGCTATTCTGCTGCCCATTTAGCAGATGATTTATGGCCTCTGAACAGACTCACCTGGTAGGCAATATTATGGATGGTAATGTGGTGCTTGGCAGCTGAATCGATAGGATAGAGAGCATTCAAGAAAGCTCGACTGTATCTGTTAAGGCAAAAATAAACAAGGAGATTGATCCTCTTGGAACCCGAGGTTTATGGAAGACTCTTGATACATCGAGAGCTAGAGAATAAGGGGGAAATGTTTTTGTTTCTTTACAATACAAGATAAAATACAGAAAATTATACCTAGTATCAGCTGAGTGAAGTTATATCAGACAATTCAGATATCAGTCCTTTTACAGCCCTCTCTAAGCGGTTTACAGAGTCGGCCTCTTGCCCACAACAATCCGGGTCCTCATTTTACCCACCTCAGAAGGATCGAAGGCTGAGTCAACCTTGAGCCGGTGAGATTTGAACAGCCAAACTGCAGCTAGCAATCAGCTGAAGTAGCCTGCAGTAGCTTGCATTAACTCGATAAAAGAGGAAGAATGCAGATTGTTGTGTAGCATAGAGGTCAAATAAAATTTAAGATGCAGCTGGAATTGTCAAACTGAAGACAATTCTAAATTAAATGTTTTATTGCATTTTTATTCCGCTCCCTTGGGAGAAGGGTGGCATATAAATCTAATAAACCAAACCACTCAGAATGATGTCGCCTCATTTTAACCTCACATCACTGATTGAGATCAATTGGTTTGAGAAAGCACATGTAGCTGATAAAGATTATATACTGAGTTTTGTGACTAAATGAAGATCTGAATTTAATTTTTCCTTTAATTTAATGGAGATCTTTTTTTTTGCCATTCCCATCTGTTTAAAAACCCACTCCACCCCAAGCACACTGACCTCTGGCAGGTAGGGCAAGAACAGTTTTCATCAATGGGCCTGAAATCCTTGGAATATTGCTTGTTCTTCAGCTGCAGGGACCCCCAAGGGACCAAAGCTGAACCGAAGCGCTGGGAATGAAGAAAAGGCCCACGTAGTTCAGAGACACCACTGAAAACAACACTGGTTCCCTGGGGGGGGGGGGGGTGTATTTCGAATCTCTACAAAATCCCCCCTCCCCCCTTTACAGTCTTTCAATGCCAATCTGTTTCCTTGATCAGCTGGTGAAAGTGCATTGAACTTGCCACTCCCTTTCCTCCCCGGTGTACTTACGGCTGTCCTTGTGGGATAGACACAGTCAAACATGTCGCAGCCCAAGGCTACACACACCACCAGATCAGTAGCATAACTTTGAGCAGAACAAAGACAAGAAACAGGCGTCAGGTGAGCAACTGCAAAGGGTGATTCTCCTTATCCCAAGAACACGGTTTGTTCGTTCCTACCCAACTCCCATAAGGTAGCGAGGCTTGTTCCTCGGGAGACGTTTTGTGCTGAGGGCCACCATCCTCCAGAAGTGATCTTTGGCCTCACCACCACTCAGGCCCCCAATAGCAAAGCCTGGAACATCTCGTTTAGTCATCTCTAGCGGGTGGGAAGAAAGAGAGACAGATGAAGGAGACCAGTCTATCTAAAACGTGTTATCTCTACATTGTTCTAAGTTTTACAAACCCTTTTGGCAAACGAATGGCCAGGAGATCATGGAAAAGCTTCAGAGTTTAGCCCAGGGGACCTCAAACTAAGCTCGCTGGCGCAATGTATCTGGCCCGTGCACAGTAGTGATGTAGCCCCTCCACCCACCCCTCCCAGCCGCTCCTTGTGCGCCTGGCTGCCCTCATTGCCCCTCCTCCAGCCCTCGCCCTTTTCTTTAGTCACAAAGGGCCGCCTTGAGTCTTCAAGTTTCAAGCAACAAGAAATGTGTTACTTTTGGGGAGACCGCAGGATTTTCCAAACCCCGCTAAGTGGCCAGGGCGGCGGGTAGACATATGTGTGGGGGAGGGAGGGGAGCACGCTGGAGACGGTGTCGTCAGAACCCTCCCTGGCTCTTCCCCAAAGAAGCTGAGAAGGGGCAGGGCCAGCCTGATCCGAGCCCTGCTTCTCGCAAGGAAAAGCTTGCAGATTTACACTCTTATACTTTTGTAGTATGTGTTTCTTTTAATGTTGTACGCCGCCCTGAGTCCTTGGGAGAAGGGCGGGATATAAATCGAATAAACCCCAACCTCAACACTCGTGAGCACACACAGAAGCTGGCTCTCGCCAGGGCTTTCCAGAAATTAAGAGAGACTAGATTTTTGGGGGGGGGGGGAGAAAGGGGGGGGAAATGTACATGTTGTACACCTTGCCGCGCTTCCCGTCTCTTTCCTTCTTGCTCTCCACCAACCAGACCCAGCGCTTCCTCCGCCCTCCAAAACAACCGCCGCTGTTCACAGGGATGCCACACCCTCCCTCCCACCAGCCCCCGCTCCCTTCTTCCCACTAAACCCTCAATTTAGGGCCATTTGTTTAGCGACTGAACAGTCCCAAGTAAGCCAAAGGTTGCTGCTGGGGGGGGGGAGGTGCCTGTTTCCAGGTTCTGGAGTAGACATAAAGCTCCTCCTTTGCCTCTTTTGGGCTGAATCCCTTGCCTCCCTCCCACCCAAAGGAGAGGGAAATCCCCTTTGTTTTATTCTTTTTTTAATGGCCTCTTTTAAGGAACCTGAAATGACCGTTGCAATAAAGTTAGGCAAGTGGCAAGAAAGTTTGTGCTCTTTTTCCCTTCGGGGAGGGGGGGGTGTCTTATTGAATAAATAGATTCCTTGGGTTGAGCAAGGAGAGCATAGGAAGGACAAAGGCAAAATGGACTGCTAAATTGACCATGCCCACCCAGTCACATGACCACCTAGCCACGCCCACACAGCAGGTCTGGACCCCCAACAGTCTGAGGGATCTGAATTGGCCCTGTTTAAAAATTCTGAGGACCCCCTGGTTGAGCCTGGTTCAGCCTGTATCACAATCAGAATCACACCTGAGACTTTTAGCTCATCCCAATCCCCTTGTAGTGTGTTCTAAGTTTAAAAGAGCTGGAATTGACCAGTTTCGAAATAAAAGTGACCTCACCTTCCAGACATTTCTTTCGGAGGATGGGATCCAGCCCACCCTGAATAATAGCAAATAAATTCTGCTGGTGAGGTTTGCTGTGTGCTGCAATACATCTGTCCAACCAGCGAATAGACCTGCGGGGGAAAAAATTATTAATTGCAATTGTTATTTCATTCTAATTATAGAAGTTAAATTCAATCAAATTTGCAACTGGGTGATTTATAGCAATTTATTTAAATAGATTTTATTTAACTCTTTGATTTGAATGCTGTTGCTGTAGATGAAGTTTCGTACTCAATAACATTTTGAAAGTATTGAGATTTCTTTGCCTTTATAAATTTACATTTATAAAGAAGTTGAAAGGAAATAGATAATGCTAGCATGATTTATTTACCCAATAACTAGAATACTGTGCTTTAATATATTTTTGTGGACTAATGCCAGGTTGTTTTGAAATTAGTTATTGTCCAGTTATCGCCTAGCTGCCAATGCCAGCACCATAAGCCACGGTCAGCTCAATCGCAGCCTTGATGGGTGGGGTTTGCGGGAAGGGCAGCAACCGAATGGCTTTAGGAAAATCAAACGCTCCTTAGGAGAAGGAAAGGGAGGGGGGTGGAAACTCCCTGATAAAGAACAGGAAGCAGTTGGAGGGGCGGTAAGTACGCCAGCTTCATCTCAAGGGGGGGGGGGGGGAGAGAGAGAGAGAGAAAGAGAGAGAGAGAGAGACAAGGGAGATAAGAAACAAAAAAGAAAGAAAAAGAAAAAGAAAGAAAGAAAGAAAGAAAGAGGGAAGGGAAAGTGAACGAGATATGGATGGACGGACGGAGGTCTTATTTTTGGGGAAACACGGTATGTAGGTCATATAAAATGCCACACGTGATCCATGGGCTGCCCATCTGTACTATTATAAGGGATCTAAACATGTAGGCACAGCCTTTTGAATATTGTCCTATACCACAACATACATGTCCTCTAGCATGTAGGTCAATTCAGCCTTTCTGAACTGGGCTCCCACAAGAAATTGCTAAGGGTTTGGCATGGTTGAAAACACACACACACACACACACACACACATTTTTGAACTTTGAGCATTGCACAATTTTAGCACAAATTTTGGGAATGTATATGCTTTATTATTTATTAAATTTATATGCCACCTATTTTGCTATCAAAAGTGACTGAGTTGCAACTCAGCTGCCAACTTGCTGCTTTTCTGTTGCTGTAAATGTTGTAAAACGTGGACTGTGTGGGTTAAAAATGAATTATATTATGAAGTTTTTATATTTTCTGTAATTTCTATGAAGGGGTTCTCGGAGACTGTTACATTGCTAGTGGGAATGGAACCAAGCTATCTTGTTGGAAAAAGAGGAAACTTTTAGGACTTTCTCCTAACCTTGAATGGTAATTTTGCACTTACTATTTATTTCTTTTTTTCAGGTGTTTTATTCTTTCCAACACAATAGAAGGTTGGAAATAAATTGCATAAGGGGGCTTAGTGCTGTCATCAGGATAACTCTCCAAAACTTGAACAAACCTGTATAAAATTTAGTGTCAGCAAAACAAAGTTTGAATTTGAAAATGAGTCAAATCCAATTTTCCAGAAAAAAAAATCCCCCAATGCCCTCCGTGGGAGAGGCCCCTGGGAAGAGCTACTATCTCCTCCATTCTAAGCTCATCTGGTGACATGACTGAATGTAGGCAGCTGCCTTGTATTTTGTCCATGCGCACCAGAGAACCTCAAAGAGGCAGCAAAAACCCACATAGAGATGCAACATGTAATTTCATATCACTGAAGAAAATATAGGTGTTTCTTATGGCCAATCAAGGCGCTTGAAGGAATCCCTGAAGCCACGCACTTCCTGGTTTCCCTAATTTGTTTGATTCCACCGAAATCCAAACTGTGTCTCTCAATATTTCGCAACTGATGAGTTTTTTCTGAAGTCACTTCAGAAAAACGTGTATGCTTAAAAACAAAACGAAGGGAACTTGTATAAATGGCATAAAGATTATTCTATTGGCTGGCACTAAGTTTCAAAGCTTCCTGGTAAGAGACAAAGTTGACGCCAAAAAGCCAAGTCTACAAGCTACCCGGGAGCCGAGGATCGGGAGATGCTGAATGCGGCTGGCAAGAGCATCGAAGAGTTGATGGGCCCAGCACAAACCTCAACATGGCTTCCTCCACGCGTGGCCCACTCACGGTGCTGCTGACCACGTCATCCAACTGCATTATAATGTCGGAGCCTGGGGGGGGGGGGGGGGGAAGAATACAAGTCAGCTGAGATCAGTCAAGAGGGAAATGGAGGATAAAGTTGCCCGTATAAATTTTAACACTATTTAGTTTTCTGTTCTCTTTTATCTCTGAGGATAAAATAGGAATAGGAAATAGTGGGGAATAACAATAATTATATATTTAATATGTTAAGATATACAAAAGGACAGAAAGATGGTTCGGAAATAAAAGGTGTAATAATAGGCATGTATAAATAATATGAAATAATGGAGATGAAATGTAATATTTAGGAAAAATAAGACTATAGTTATGTGTACTGAAATGTATATTACCCAGTTACCGCACCAGTCACACACTGATATGTACAAAGATAATAAAAAATAAAATTTTGCTTGAAAAAAATGTTATAAGTGACATCATATCAGTAAATCCAAGATAGTAAAATCAGTATTTCAAGAGAGAATTAAAATAAACAATGAGGAAATACATGATAACAAATAAAAACCTAGCGAACTGACTGCTATGAGGGAAAAGCTAACAAATAAAACACATTTAAAGATTTTTTGGGGGAAAAAAGCATAATAAAGAAAAGGTAGAATGTACAGAGTAAAAGAGAAAATTCCAGCATGTTGGCCCTCAGTCCCAGCTGATTCTGAATGTGCATCTCTCTTTAACAGAACAAAGAGAAGGCTGCTCTGTGCAGAATGGAACTTTAAAAAAATAAACACAAATAATATAAACAGTACATATACAACTGAATACAAAAAAAGAAAGACAAAGGGAAAAAAAACCCACATATTACAGTGCACCCCCAACCCCTGGAGACCTTTTCCCTCCCTTATATTTCTTAGATATACAATATATTCCAATTGTGCCCTACAAAATAACATATTCCTGAGTAGGTTTATTCCCTTTGCCTTCCACCAACACTTATTTTATAAAATCCTCTCCATATTTTATTATAATTGTTTGCTTCGATCATCCCTTTTTTAGGTTGGATTTCTGTTGTTAATTTATCATTTTTGCCATACTCCAAATTTTATTAAGCCACTCATTTCTTTGAATATCCCAATTTCATCTCCAATATTTAGCCATCACTAATCTAGCTGCCATTATCAAATTTACAATCAATTCCTTTTTTGTTTCATTTACATCCCGTTTTTCCACACGCAACAATAATGCAATCCTCGGTGATCTCTCTAGATCAGTGTTTCTCAACCTTGTCAACTTGAAGATGTCTGGACTTCAACTCCCAAAATTCCCCAGCCAGCATTCACTGGC